GGGTGTGGGGGATCCCATGCTGGCTGGAGGGGTGTGGGGGATCCCATGCTGGCTGAAGAGATGCAGGTGCTCTTCTCTTGCTCCCTGATTTGGCCTCCTGATCCCCCTAACAGCAGGAACTGGCAGGTCCTATGATTCCTTAGAAGGCACTTTCTTTGAATACAAACCAGTAATTATAATGTGGTTGTCAGAGTTGTTTGAGCATTTATCTTCTCAACACACAAATAACTACATCTCCAGATTCTTTTCAGGGAGCTCTGGCTAATGAGCATATTTTTACTGCTTTATCTTGGTTTTTAGAGTGTCCTAGAGTTTTCATATAGTATTCACAGCAGTCTTGGCAGAAACCAGCCCTTTTTCTAAGAGGAAACTGAGGCTCAGAGAAAGCAGTTTGTTCAGGCTTCACCGTTAACACCTGGACTGAGACTATCATCTAGGTCTTCTCATTCCTGGCTTCATCTCCTTCCACCTCTGCCTCACCTCTCAGTCTTTCACACACTTTGACGTAGGCTTGGATTTTCTCAAGTTAATAATCACATTGTTTCAAGTGCTTTGAACCTGAATGTGAGATGTCATCGAATTTTTAAATATTTTGCAACTTGGTACTCACATATATTTTGTCTTCTGTCCTTTGCAGACTGTGGACGTTTGGTCTGCTCTTCAGATTTTATGTTTTAAGGTTCTTTAGCCAAACTTGACATCAGTAAATCAGTTTCAGGGATTATAACTTTTTACTGTAGATTTCTGTAAAATAGGCAAATGTCATCTTGTTTGAAGTAGAAAAGCACATACTATAAAATACATACGTTTCTAATATTTATGTCTTGTTTATATGTACATTCTTGCCCAGACATGTAGTTGCCATACTTTTACGGGCACATTAAAGTAAGCTAGTAAAAATGCGCACTGGACTAGAAAATTTCTAACCTCTGTCAAAGTCTCCTTTTTGATCTCACTTCTGAAAAAAATAACCAGGCTGGAGCCTACATCAGAAAGCCAGGCATTGCAGAGCTGAGGCAAGCCAGGAGCTAGAGGCCTGTCGGGAGGGATTTGATTTAGGGTCAGGTCACTACATGCCGTGCTCAGCGTGCCCAGGCCAGGAGTCAGGCAGGGCCTCTCAGCTACCCCTGCCCCTGAGGAGGCTTCGCCTCAGTGCAGGCTTCCTGCGTTGCTTAGCACTGACTTCAGGTTGTGACCAGGGCTAGTGTTTGATGTCAGCATGTTTTTAATGCTGTAATGCTCTCACAAAGTCTGATTAAAGACCATGTTCACCAAATGACCCACATGTGAAGAGGCTCCAGAGCTTCTCAAATGGCAACAATATCAAAATTTATTTAACCCATCTCATGAGAGTGTATAGTCATGTGTGTTAAAGGAATTGCATTTTTCATAAAATACAAAAGAGTACTAAAGTACTAAATAGCTTGTTTCTAGGTACCATTCCTTTGACAGATGTATGGCAAAAATTATTCAAGACCTACATTCACATATTGTCATAGACGGTGTTCCTTGTGGAACTCTGTACGTAGGTGTATCCAGCTGGCACGGGGAACAAGGCAGCCTCCACTGGGCCTTTCCCACCAGCACACTCCAGTGGTTTGCTGGTCTGTTACCTGTTATCCTGAACCAAGGTTTTCGGGTGCGATGAACCTTTTCCTGCCAACCTCTCTCCCTTCACTCTTATTTTAGAGTATTCTTTTTATCTCTTTATTAGGTGCCATCCCGAATTCTTTCTTAATGGCATAAAGAATTTCAAGCCTCATTTAAAATAATCCTAAAACTTACAGAGAATAAAGTATAATCTTTTATTGATTCTGTAACAGGAGCCCCCAGCCCCCAGGCCACAAATGGTCCTGGGAACTGGGCCACACAGCAGGAGGTGAGCAGAGGTGGGTGAGCGAGTGAAGCTAGCTTCATCTGGATTTTCTCCATCACTCCACCACCTGAGCTCCATCTCCTGTTGGATCAGGGGCAGCATCAGATTCTCAAAGGGGCAGGAACCCCATTGTGAACTACACATGTGATCCTTATGATGCTAAGGATGTAGGCTGAGCACTCCTTATGAGAATCTGAGGCCTGATGATCTGTCACTGTCTCCCATCACGCCTAGATGGTACCATTTAGTTGTAGAAAAACAAGCTCAGGGCTCCCAGTGATTCTACATTATGGTGAGTGGTATAATTATTATACTATATATTACAATGTATAATGTAATAATAGAAATAAAATGCACAATAAATGTAATGTGGTTGAATCATCCTGAAACCATGCCCTCCAGCAACCCTGGTCTGTGGAAAAATTGTCTTTCAGAAAACCAGTCCCTGGTCCCAAAAAGATTGGGGACCACTGTTGTATAATACATAATTATTTTTATAAGGTGAAGCCTCTTGTTAACAAAACAGAAAGCCATAAGTATAGTTATCCTCTTACAGAGAATATGTCACACCTGATTTAATTTATTTTAGAACAACTTAAAAGCCAGAATTTGATTTTTAGAAGCAAGAAAATAACTTAAGGGCCAAATTGTCACACAGTGGCAGCTTTTAGGAATATGACATCAGTGTGGCTTCCTTTGAGAATTCAAGACAAGTGTTAATGGAGGCTGGGCAGGCTGTGCAAGCAGATGTCTGTAATGAATTCTTTCTTCCCCAGGGCCGCTGGAGAACGCTATCGCAGGGAGATGCTGGCCCACGGTGGAGGCAGGGAGCCCATGCTCATGGTTGAAGGTAAAACAAAACCAAAATAGCACTATCTATAATGAAAGCTGTTTTCTCTTTCTCCAAATGTTTTTTGTTTTGTTTTGTTTTGTTTTTTATGGAAATGCTTTAAGCTGCGCACGGTGGCTCATGCTTGTAATCCCAGCACTTTGGGAGGCCAAGGCAGGTGGATCACCTGAGGTCAGGAGTTAGAGACCAGCGTGGTCTCTAACTAAAAATACAAAAATTAGCTGGGCATGGTAGCAGGCACCTGTAATCCCAGCTACTCGGGAGACTGAGACAGGAGAATCGCTTGAACCCGGGAGCTGGAGGTTGCAGTGAGCCGAGCTTGTGCCATTGCACTCCAGCCTGGTCAACAAGAGCAAAACATCATCTGAAAAGAAAGAAATATTTTAGCTGTGCATTGTATTCTAAGCATCTGTCTCACTGTGTCCTAAGTATATTAATTTTTAGTTGCCATGATTTAATCAGGTACCAGGATATTCAGGTTTTAGCTTTCAAAATGTTGCTTATACTCTAATAGAAAAATGTTTTATTTGTCATAAACTCTCAGAAAATTTGCCTTTAGATTTTAACAGATCACAGTGTATTTTTTTAGCCTAAAGAACCCGTTTATTTTTTATTCCTTTATTTATTTTTCTGAAAGTTTAGCTACACATTTTCAAGAAATTCCAAGGCATTGGGTTAGATTTTTTTTTTTTTAACCTGTTGAAAAATTGGAACTTAATTAAATCTTCTCTTTGAGGTATCTCAATTTTTGTTTTCCAATGCAATTTTCTCAGTAAATTTTTGAATATTTTTACTGAAAATTTAATTGTAAATGGAAGTGATCATGATTTTTCATGTATGAATGTAAAAACATTGAAATTTTCTTACAAATGTTCAGAGGAAGACATGAATATTACTAGATACTTGCAATATATCGATGGTTATATTTGCAGCTGAGCCTATTTGAAAAATTTTCTGACTCTCTCAAAAACTGCGTATGGGAACTATGTCCATATTGGAGATGTGTGGTTTTCATTGTACTAATTGAGTAGGTTTGCGTAGTCAAGAGTGTGACTTAAATGTCTCCTTGCCTAAGACTATTGAATCTAATGTCTAGATTCCTGTTTAGCAGAATTCCAGATTCTTGCCTTCAGCCATTCATTTATTCAGCAATTATTTGTGAAGTGCTAATTATGTGCCAGGCATGATTGTAAGTGCCAGAGGTGAAATAGTGAAAGACGCATAGACAAACCTCCTGTTCTTTTGGAGATTTCGTTCATTCCATCAGCTTTTCACGGGTGTCCAGGTCAAGCTTAATCTGCCCGATGCCACAGCAAGTTTATGAAACAGAGAAGCCAGTCTAGGGGCCCCACAGTCCGGGAGCCATCCTTGTGATGGAGAGTGAGGAAGCCTGCATGCTGATGCAGCCGCCATTTATAGCTGGTCCTTACTGGCCCTTACTGAACTCTGCCACGTCTGGGGAGAGTTGTAGGGATTTCCATGTATCCGTTGATTGACCCTATGAGGTAGGAATTATGATCCCCATTTTAGAGACAATAAACAAGTCAGCCCGTCTGCTCGTGTCACCAGGTAGTGAGTGGAAGAGCCAGGGATTGAACCAGGACCTCAGGCAGCAGACCAAGCTCCTCAGCTGCCTGTACTGTCAGACAAGACATCTAGTTCAGGGTCTGTTGCAGACCCAGGCAAAAGTGAAGCAATGAGCACGTCGTAATAAGCAACCGATTGTGTACTTTGTGTACTTTTGGCTGGTGGTTGGTAGCACCAGCCCACCAGGAGCTGAGGCAGCAAAGCAGCCTTTTCTTCTGAAACAACAGTGAGTTTCTGTGAAGTGTGGGCTCCCGCAGCTGCGCTTGGCTCAACCTTTCCCAGGCCAGGCCTTCCATGCTGTCTGCACCTCAACATTTGCTGATAGGAGAAAAAAATGTAGATCTTTTTTCAAAAGAAAATAATGTAAATCTTTTTCAGTGTTTATCTTTTGGCTGGTGTGTTTTTCTAGTCAGCTTCCCAGAATGTTGCAACTAACTCTCTAAAAATTCTGTTCTTTATCCAAAACAATTTTGTGTTAAGAAACTTAATATTTTCCACACTAAAATTCACACACGAGAGAAAAACAAGTCCACCATTCAAACCAGAGATGATAAAGTATTCAGATTCCAGTTAACACACACAATGGAACAATTCTGCTTTTACATTTTAATATTTTTCTTAATGCTGTTCTGTCAGATCTCATTCATTCACATGATTTGTTTCATGTCAGAGATGAATGCAGGACATGCAAAGAGGTTTATGCCAGTTGTCACGTCATAGGGCTGGATTTGTAAGCTAAGACCCACAGTGGCTTCTCATTTTTTTGGAGGCAGTCAGCCTGTACCCCACAACAGCAGGTCTTAGGTGATGGCTCACAGCCTTAACACTGGGGTATCACCAGGAGGGATGGGTAAAATTACTGACAGTTGTAATATAAAAGCATATGGGATCTCGTTGGCAGTTTTCTTCCGTGAAAATGTAACTTTTTACAGGTACTTTATATATTTTGTTGAACTATTTCCTGGATAAATGTAAAGAATTATATTATGTAGCAAAATGCAAATGAATACCTGCCTTCAAATTATGCACCTCCCTAATCAAATCACAGCGTTTTTTTACCTTCTTAGTTGTAAGACTGTGTTTCTTAGGGTCAGAATACCTTTGTAATTACACTTATGCTCTTTGAGTGATACACATTCAGGCAAGTCAAATAGGGAATGCTTCTGATTTTTGAATAATAAGTACAACATAGGCAAACTTTTAGATTATTTATCTTTTTCAGAAGGAGTCATCTCTTGGGAACAGGGCTCTGCTCAGAGCTCTGAGTCCCTCGGCCATTTCTAGTCCTCTCCAACTAGGCCAACACCCCGTTAAAGGAAGTCCCTGAGCACACAGAATTCCTCTGCTTCATTTTTCCCTGATGTTTGCTTTTCATTCATCAGTGAAAGGCCACTGCTAGGCAACCATGTATCTGTGCTCTCTCACTCTTGGCTGCAAGGTATTTACTCAGCAGTTTTCCTTTGCTTAACTTTAGGTAGAGTGATCCTCACAGGAAAAAAGACAAGTTGTAGCAGCAGCAGGGGCTTTTCTTAAAGAATCTAACATACCAAATACCATTTGAAGGCAACATAATAGTGGTTAAAACAGTATTCTCTTCCCCAGAGAAAGAAAACAATCATATGGTGAAATAGAACTGGATTTGCAGTCACTGACTGCCGCTTACTATCTATAAATTACCTGGGAAAGTCACTTCATTTCCCTGTGGGAGGTAAAATGTGATTTGACTTTAAAATAATTTTTTTTTTTTTTTTTGCGATGGAGTCTCTCTTTATTGCCCAAGCTGGAGTACAGTGGCATGATCTCTGCTAACTGCAGCCTCTGCCTCCTGGATTCATGCAATTCTCCAGCCTTAGCCTCCTGAGTAGCTGGGACCACAGGCATGTGCCACCATGCCCAGCTAATTTTTGTATTTTCAGTAGAGACAGGGTTTCGCCATGTTGGCCGGGCTGGTCTTGAACTCCTGACCTCATGTGATTCGCCTGCCTTGGCCTCCCAAAGTGTTGGGATTACAGGTGTCAGCCACCATGCCTAGCCCAAAACACTTCTTTTTAATCTGCCTTTTCTTTTCTCAGTCCATCTCTGAATGGGGTGAGGTGTGTGTACAGACATGTGGCAGTAGTGTTACAGATTAACAGTATGACCTTGTCTATTTTTAAACACAATAATAGCTTACATAAAGATATATATTATGGCATGACATTCAGCCACTTAATCCTCCACTAAACACATGTGGCAATACCTGACTGAAACCAACTTTCTTAATTGCTGAGGTATCTGGGGTAAGGTTTAACTCTCATTGTCAGTGTTAAGCTTTTCTGCTGTTCATCTCTTACCCCCACAGTGGTTTTTGGCTTATGTTAAACCACATTTCTGAGTAATAAGAGAACTTAAAGTTTATGCTTAAAATAAACCATGATTATATGGCATTTCCATTCATTTTACCATTTTATAAAATACATTTTAAAATATTTGTTAAGTATGATCTTAACAGATATGGTGAGCATGATCTAAGGTTCCATTTCCATTACAGTCACTTTAGAAAATGAGCAGTTTTCTAAAAAAGACAGACATGCTGAGGTTTGTGAGTAGCACGGAAGTAGTATTTTGCCCCCACCAGGAAGCAGAATTGTTGCTTACTACAACAAATAGGTGGAATTATATAGCTATTAGGAATGGAAACTGTCTTAGTTCAGCAGTTTTTGAATGGTAGATGAATTCCTCATGTAAGTTTTCTTATTCTCCTCTGTAAACTATTTGGTCTTTTTGTGTTTTATGTTATGTTAAATTCTTAATTAAATGCATCTTAATGAGTTTTTAGGTTCAGATTTTAATTATCCTGTGTCAAGTTTAATCTCCTGTAACACAGGTCATATTGTCAGGGTTCATACTCTCTGCGCTGCCTTGCTACATTTCTCTCCATTGATCCTTAAATTCTGACATGAAAGTGACTGGCCTTTAGAAGGCAGGATATGTAAGCAGTGTGGATCTGGGGCCCTGATGGTTCTCTACACAATCCCCAAGTCTTTTTTCCTTTTTCTTTTTTTTTTTTTAATGACACAATCTATCTATTCTCATTGACATTGAAGAGGCCTGCCTGACGTCCATTGATCAACAGTAAAATCTTCCTCTTTTCCTGTGAGCTCCTTTAGATTTTTGTGACAAAACTATCAATTTAGTTTATAACCATATTTATCCATGGTGGTCCTGTTGGAAAGATTCTCCCCACAGCCACGTAAGTTTTGGGTTCTGCCCCTGGTTACAGAATTCCTTATGCTGTCTTCCTTCAACTTTTCCACAAAGAATCTGAGGGGAGGGGGAAGGGAAAGGCTAAAGTCCAAGATTTTAGCATTCCAGGAGGTTATTTGTAAATATTAAACAACTTTATTTCTGTGCTTCTTTCTAAATAGAATCTC